TCTTCCCCTTTCTCTTTCCTTTTCCTTTTCCTCTTCCCTTTCCTCTTCCCTTTCAAGTTTTGCTGGGTTCGATGGAAGGAGCAGCTTTGCTAGGGATTTTTGAACCCAGCAAATTTGCTAGATTTTGATTGGTTTGGGTTTTTCTTCTTCTTACAATTGATTTTTGGCCTTTGTTTTAGGTGCTTTAGTTGGGTTTTTGTCGAAATTTCAGGGAAGAAAACTTTGATTTTTTTGGATTTTTTTGGAGAATCTGGTTTATGTTTGTGTTATACTTGGATTTAATGTTAGAAGGTGTTTGGGTTTACAAAAAGTGAAAGGGAAGGAAGAGGAAGAAGAAAGAGACAAAGGAAAACAAAGAAAGCCAAAAATGGGTGTTCGATTTCGAACCCAGTAGCCCCTGGGTTTTTTCATGGGTTTGAAAAGCTGGTGACAAAAGTGGTGATGAAAGTGGACTTGGAGAAAAATTATTGATGAATTGATTGTTTGATTTAGAAAAATGGTGATGAAAGTGGATTCAAAGGAGGCAAAGAGAGAGAAAAAGAAGAATGAATGAAGAAGATTTGAGAAAGAAGATGTTGAGGAAGAAGAGGAGGGTAAAACTATAATTTTAAATGAATTAGATAATTATATTTTGACACATCATTTATTTACCCATGTTGTTAAGCTGAATATTACATGCAGAATATGTGTTTTCAGTAATGAGTCGACTCTAAAAACTGATATTTGACTCTTGAGGCCCTTAGAGTCGACTCTAATAGGTAAAGATTCGCCTCCCAAATTTTAGAGAGTCGAGAAGTTCTGGATGTAGGTTAGAATCGACTCTTAATGAGAAAAAAAATCCACTCTCATTTTTAATAGTCGACTCTTAAGCAAAAAATATGTTATATTTATATGTGAAATACTTTTGTAAATTGAAAAAGATGTCCACATTATTTTTTTAGATAAATTAGAGAGTTAAATCATTTAAATAAAGAGTAAATCATGTAATTATATTAATTAATGTGTTAAATGTTAAATAATATTTAATAAAACCACAAAAATCAACTAATAATTTCAATTATAGAGATAAAAATAACTTTTTTTAGATATATGAATGACACAATGGGCAGGAAGGGTAATTTGAATTTTTAGCAATGAGATACATGTCGATGATCAATTATGCCTTTTCAAATTAAACCAACTTTTAGCAACGTGGAATATGTTGCTAATTGGGGGGGAACCTTTTAGCAACATAGTATATGATGTTGAAGGCATTATATATACTCCCCACCCCAATAGAGCTGACCAATGCTTTCATATTTCTCCTCCCATTCTCTCTTGCATGCTCTTTGCACCCGTCCTCCATTTCTCAGCCTTTTTTTTTTTTTTCTTTTTGTCATTTTTGCACAAATTGTATGCCCATATTTTAGTAATTTTTTATCCATTAATGATGTATCAAGTATCATTTATTTATTATCTTTTATCATAAAATTCTCAAACATATATTACTAATTAAATTAATTTTCATCAACTTCTTCATTCTCTTGTGGTATATATTGTGATTTTATTGTATTCAATATTTTTATAAACATTAATTGATTAAATCTGTTTCAATTTATTTAAGAGTTAATAAAATTATAAATAACTATATGTATAATAATTATTAATTTTGGTATTTTGCTTCTTTTGTAGGTAAAAGACATTATCAACCAAAATTCTAGTTTGGTAAGCTCCCTAAACCAATATTAATTATCTTTAGATGTTTATTTTAAATGTATTTAATTAGACAAAACCTGAGATATAGTAGATTAAAATAAACATTAATTATTTAGTTATAATTTTTTTTGTATATTTTATTATATTAAGAGTGAGATATAGTGAAATTTATTATTTAGCGATTATAATTATAAAAATTAAATTTTATAATTAGATAATACATTATTGTTAAATTCTATAATGATAGGCTGAAAAAAATGTAATTGAATTTTTTTAAACTATTAATGTAATTGAAAAATATGTATTTATAATATTGGTAAAAAATATTAATGTAATTGAAATATATGTATTCTGGTGAAGAAAATTTATGAATTTATTTATTTTTTTTTCAAAGTAAAACCCTTTTCAGTAACATATCACTTGTCAGTAAAACAATCGAAAAATGGGATTTTTTACCACTACCAATGTGAAACATCTTGCTAATTGACAGGAGGCTTGCATGCTTGTATTATGTACAAGATAATCAACAACAAGGAACATGATGCTAAAAGGCTAAGAGATAATTAGCAACAAGGAACTTGTTGATGAAAGTGGAGTGGTTTACTATTTATTAGACTATCAGTAACAAGTCCAGTAGGGTGGCTTACTATCATTCATAAGAGCATCAGCAACAAGTTCCTTGTTGTTGAAAATGGGGTGGCCTTATTACTATTTATGAGACTATCAGCAACAAGTCCCTTGTTGCTGAAAATAAAGTGCTACAGTGTGCAAGAAGGTGTTAGCAACAAGGGATATGTTGCTGAAAGGGTGCCACATTTTTGGTAGTCGACTCCAGTGAGTATTTTTAGCAACATGAGCCATTTCGGTGAAGCCATACTTTCAGCAACAAGGAGTATGTTGCTGAAAAGGGTTCAAAATTCCAATGATCGACTCCGATGACTTTTTAGCAACATGAGTCATGTCGATGAAACTCCATCTTCAGCAACAAAAGGTATGTCGTTGAAAAGGGTGCCATGTATTAGCAACAAGCTTTATGTTGCTGATGTATTACCCACCAAGGCTTCTCGAACAAAGACATCAGCAACAAGAATCATGTTGTTGAAGTACTTTCAGCGATATGGGAAGTGCTTTCATCGACGTGCTCCCATGTTGCTGAAAAATAGATTTTTAGTAGTGCCTTTCCATATTTAAGATGTGAAAACACATGACCCTCATATTTGAAATAAGAAAAATTGATTGCCTTTATATCCAAGGAGAGAAAACTATCACCTTTAGATCTAAGATGAGAGAAAACCTATCATTCAAATTTGGGATAAGAAGAACGAACATCTTTAGATCTAAAATGAAGAAAACCCTTCCCTTTATATTTGAGAAGAGAAAAATTAATAACATTTATATCTACATAGAGGTATCCTATTATTTTCTTTATAGGTGATACTCATATATTTCTTTAATTTATTAAAAAAATTAAGAGGAGAAAAAAACAATAATACTGAATGCAATACATAATAGAAATTAAAATGCGAGGATATTAAGATATTTTGAAGATTTAAACATTTAAATCATATTTTTGTTTTCAATCAAGAACAATTAGTAAGGAAAACGGATTGCTGATAATTATCTTCACAAATAAAATTCCAAGCTTCCTCTTCTGTGCTGAAATTGTTATATGAAGCCAATCTTCTTCCATTTTTGATGATCTTTCAATCTACATATTCCTATCCATTGATAATTGCTCCTTTATCTCACCTGTCTAGATTTTTTACTTCATAACATTTGCTTTTAGAGTATTCATAGGATTTGATACTCTACTTCTTCACATTTTCCTCACAAATCTAGATTGGGTTTGGAAAAATTATTCCTTTTCATATTTGAGATGTGAAAACACATGACCCTCCTAATTGAAATAAGAAAAATCGATTGCCTTTATATATAAGGTGAGAAACCCATCACCTTTAGATCTAAGATGAAGGAAAACCTATCATTCAAATTTGGGATAAGAAGAACCAACATCTTTAGATCTAAAATGAAGAAAATCCTTCCCTTTATATTTGAGAAGAGAAAAACTAATAACATTTAGATTTACAGATAGGGATCCTATTATTTTCTTTATAGGTGATACTTGTATATTTCTTTAATCTACTGAAACAAATAAGAGGAGAAAAAAAAATACTAAATGCAAGGCCTCATAGAAAAACGAGAGGATATTAACTTAATTTGAAGATTTAAACATCTAAATCATATTTTTATTTTCAATCAAGAACAATTAGTAAGAGAAATGGATTGCTGATAATTACCTTCACAAATAAAATTTAATTCCGAGCTTCCTCTTGTGTGCTGAAACTGTTATATGAAGCCAATCTTCTTCCATTTTCGATGATCTTTTAATCTATTCTTACCCATCAATAATTGCTCCTTTATCTCACCTGTCTAGATTTTATACCCCATAGCATTTTGCTTTTAAAGTATTCATAAGATTTAATATTCTACTTCTTCACTTTCTCCTCAGAAATCTAGATATGGGGTCAAAAAAAAAAATTTTTTTTTTCACATTCGAGATGCAAAAACACATGACCTTCATATTTGAAATAAGAAGAATCGATTGCTTTTATATTTAAGGTGAGAAAATTATTACCCTTAGATTTGAGATGAGAGAATGCCTACATTGATATCTAAATTAGGAAAATCCCTTTTCTTTTAGATCCAGGATAAGAATTACAGATACTTTTAGATTTAAAATGAAAAAAAAAAAGCATTATTTTATAGAAAAAACCTTAAATTTAGCCCTTAAACTCTCAAGTTTTTATTAATAAACTTCTCAAAATGAATTTTTAATCAATTAATCCTACACTATTTTTTGTGCACCTAAATCTAATTTATTATTAGACCATGGAAGTTACATATGCACCTTTATACCTTTATTTAATTATGTAGTTGAGATTATTCGTTAACTAAATACTATTTGATAGATAAAAATGATTAAAAAAGAAATTAAATGGACCTAGGAGCTTTAGTGACCCCCTAAGGCCATGAGGTGTCTAATCTAACTCTTTTCCTAAATTACAAGTGTCCTGTTGCAATTCCATAAGTTAGGGAGATCCCAACAAGTACTACTAAGCCATCAATAAAACTCTTTTTATTTTTTAGTGACTTTTAATTTTAATATTTCTTAGCTAGTAAAATTAAACCAAGTATACAATGACAAGATTCAAACTAATTTTTTTTTTTTTTTAAAATAGCGTAAGATAAATTTTCTTGTGAAGTGAGTATAAGGGATACTCAACCCTTATACAATAAAAATATATAGAAACAGAGAGAGTAATTCTGTCACTGCTTTTTCCCCAGCCAACCTCTAGCAATTTTACAATTTATTTGAGCTGCCTTGAGATCATTGTTTTATCCGTAAGTGATAACATATTAATTTGCTTATCTACTGGCCTCAATTTTACGGTCCGTGGGGTTTTGTAGCCAATCCGTAAAACTGAGCTAGCAACCTTCGCTCCTTGCCGTTAACCAGTAAAAAGTTGTTACTTGGATGCTTTCAAAGATTTTCTCCACATCCGCTTCCTTTCTTTTAAATACATTTTCATTTCTAGCTAACCAAAGATTTCACACCGTAGAGCCCCGCACCATGTCCCAGCTCAAATTAACGTCCTTTCTTTTGTTTATCAGCTGCCACTGCACCAAGAAATCCCGGCAATATTCTGCCAATACCAAATGCATCCCCCACTAAACTAAGCATTTGTCCCACACCTTATATGCAATTTCACAATGCAAGAATAAGTGGGATGAGAGTACTCGATATCATACCACAAAATCCACATGAGACAATCTCATTCTTAGTGCAAGAATAAAATTTAAACTAGTTGATACTTACTAGTTTGAAAAAATTAAGTATTTTGTTAATAAAAAAATTAATTATGTAAGGAAGGAAAAAATTGTCATTGCAACTATTAAAATTATACAATTTAGGTTAAGATATTTAATTGAATATTTAAATGGCTCTTTTAAAAGAAATAATTATTTTATCGGTTTGATTAACCGAAATTTAGTTTAAGGACTTAATTAGGAAGAAGTTGAAACATAATACAAAAAGTATGATTTCTCCTTTGCGTCCGGAGTCTTTAATTTTTTTTTTTTTTCGTTAGTTGAGTTTGCTTCCTCACACATGGACCAAGGGTTTATGGGTTTAATTAACCAAATATTAGTTTAAGGACTTAATTATGTGGACCATGATTGGTGCACACCCGGATCTAACACCCGGGTGTGCACCCCTCCACATAAAAAAAAAAAAATGAGAATACCTGGTTGGGTTTTTTTTTTTATGTGGAGGTGTGCACACACTCGGGTGTTGGATCCGGGTGTACACACATCATTTTCCTAATTACGTAGAAGTTGAAATATAGTGCAAAATTTTTAAAATATGAGTTATGGCAAGGGACAAATTTGGTAGTACAAGATGCTTCAGGACAATTCTCACTTACGTACAAGACTTCTGCAGAAATAACAATATATATATATTTATTTTTTTTTCTCATATGTTTGATTATGAGGTATACATAGGTGAGGAGATGTATAGGGATGCATAATTCTTTTCTTATTTTAAATTCTTTTTCACCCAAGTCAAAATTCAAATATGAAATATTCAAGTTTGAAATTTGAATTCTTAACCAAATAAGTCAGGGCATGGAATTAAATAAATTTCTAACCTTGGTCATTATTATTATTATTAATGAAAAGGAGATATACTTAAAACACTATTAATATGAATTATTCCTAAATTTAATTGGGATTAATTAGGATGGTAAACAAGTGGATTTGAGCCAAGTAACTCCTATTTATTATTCTTTTAGTACAATGGTTTGGAGGTA